GCCAAGCTCTCAGAAATGCCCCTTGCACAAGTGGCTTCAGGGTTGACCTTTTGTTATGGAAATGTGTCTGCCTGCCTCCTGTCACCATGCCTGCCAGCCGCTCCCAAGCCTAGGGGGCCCTGGGGTGCTCCACATGTCGTGTGTGCAGAGAGGACGGTTGAAAGCAGGCCCCCCCGCCCTCCCTTGACATGACTCCCCCCCAGCCAGGGCCCTGTGAGCACCACCACCTGCCCCACTTGTCCCTTATGTGCCGGCCAGAGGGTCCTGGAGGGGAGAGCTCTAGGGCCAGCAGACAAGGGTCCCCCCTCCCTCCCATGATGCCTGTCGAGGTGACTGTGTCCCTCTTGTCCCCCCAGGTGAACAGGCATTGATGCACCCCCAGGACAGCCGAGCGCTCCAGGAGGCCATCCCCGCTGGCTGCTGCTCACATGGTCTCTGGGCCCCTGGCACTCCGGTAGGCCTGGGGTGGTCGGGAGGGGGGCGGGGGGTCGCCAGGGCGCCGGCAGCCCTGGCCGCTGCGCCTTTGTATCCACCGTGGCCTGTAGCGTGGAAGAGGCCGGGCCGTGCTACCAGGCCCAGGGCAGCGCGAGGGCCCTGTGTGCCCATGTGGGAGCCACACCCAGGCTTTTTGTCTCTGCCAGGCTGGGTGGGGGAGTCGGGAAAAGAGGCACCCCGGTTCCCCTGGGTCCGTGGACCGCCCTGAACTGCTTAGGGCTTGGCCGGCCGGCCGAGAGTGTGCTCAGCAGGGGGAAGGCCGGGCTGGGACCCACGCGCTCTCCACTGCAGCGGCGGCTCCCCAGATTTTCCTGTTCGATCAGTAAGTGTCTGTGCCAGGCTGTCTGGCAGACACCAGGTGGCCGAGTTTCCCAGGCCCCGATGGCGGCTGCCCTCCCTAGAAAGGATCCAGGGCCCAGCCTTCCCACTTAGCACCTGGAGGCTGCGGGCAGCCGGGGTAGCACCTGGGCCCGCCTGGAGGAGGGGAGGCAGCAACGTGACTCCGGGCAGACCTTCCGGCTTGGCACCCTCTAAGGGCATGGAGGTCACCCATGGAGGGTGGGGTCCTGCCAGGGGACTTGGTTTCGCCCACATAGTAGTGGGGGAAAAAAAAAGCCTACATGGAGGCTATATTAACCGATGGGAGATTTCACGTGACAGTCATTTCTGGCTTGAGAATGGGGAAGGGCAGGCCCTGTGGGGACAGCCAAGTCCCCTGAGATGGTGCTCCCAGCCCCCATCTCTCCCCAGCGGGTCGTAGCCCCAGACTCTGGTTTCCTGCCAGCTCCTGGAGGCATTGGCAGGAGGAAGGACTGGGCCCTGGGCTTGGAGCCGAGTTCCAGCCCGTTTCCTGACTTGGTGTCCGTGTGATCTTCCTCCCTGGCCCGTCTCGTCAGGGTACACGGGGCTGGTGCGGGCGGTGATGGTGCCTCACGCCCGGGGCCATAGTTCCTCCCGGAGAGACTGACCCGTGCCCGCCTGTTCTCTGCCCGCAGGTGGTGCGCGGGGGGCGGGCGCTGGGACATGGGCCCTGACATGGAGCTGCCCAGCCACTCCAAGCAGCTCCTGCTGCAGCTGAACCAGCAGAGGACCAAGGGCTTTCTGTGTGACGTCATCATCATGGTGGACAACTCCATCTTCCGGGCCCACAAGAACGTCCTGGCTGCCAGCAGCATCTACTTCAAGTCGCTGGTGCTGCACGACAACCTCATCAGCCTGGACACGGACATGGTCAGCTCCACGGTCTTCCAGCAGATCCTCGACTTCATCTACACCGGCAGGCTGCTGCCCGGCGACCAGCCGGCCGAGCCCAACTTCAGCACCCTCCTCACTGCTGCCAGCTACCTCCAGCTGCCCGAGCTGGCCGCGCTCTGCCGCCGCAGGCTCAAGCGGGCAGGCAAGCCCTTCAGCTCTGCGCGGGCCGGGGCTGCCGGCCTGGGGCGGCCCGCCCGCAGCCAGCGCCTGTCCACGGCCTCTGTCATCCAGGCCCGCTACCCAGGGCTCGGGGACGGGCGCAAGGGGGCTCACCCGCCCCAGGAGCCACCCCAGGCCAAGGGCTCAGACGACGAGCTCTTCCTTGGCAGCTCCAGCCAGGAGGGTGCGCACGCGCTGGGCCGGGCGCTGTGTCCGGCTGCTGGGGAGGCCGGCCTGGGGGGCTGCGGCGGCAGCACCAATGGGAGCAGTGGAGGATGTGAGCAGGAGCTGGGCCTGGACCTGTCCAAGAAGAGCCCCCCGCTGCCCCCCGCCACGCCGGGCCCCCACCTCCCGCCCGAGGACGCGGCCCAGCTGAGTGACAGCCAGCACGGTTCGCCCTCTGCGGCCCCCGTCCCCCCTGTCGCCAACAGTGCCTCTTACACCGAGCTGGGGGCTGCCCCGGAGGAGCCCATGGATCTGGAGGGGTCCGAGGACACGGCCCTGAGCCGCCTGGAGGGGCCCGGGGGGCAGCCCCGGAAGAGTCTCCGGCACTCGGCCAGGAAAAAGGAGTGGGGCAGGAAGGAGCCCTGCGGCCCCTTTGAGCGGAAGGAGGTGGGACCCAAGAGCGCCTGCCCTGGGGAAGAGGGCGAGGGTCTCGGGGACAGGGTTCCCAACGGCGTCCTGGGTGGCGGGGTTGGCGCCGGTGGGCCCTACGGGGAGCCCCCGTTCCCCTGCCGGGAGGAGGAGGAGAACGGAAAGGACGCCAGCGAGGACAGTGGGCAGAGCGGCAGCGAGGGCGGCGGCGGCCCCGCCGGGCCTCACTTCCTGTACCGGCCCGAGGGCTACGAGACGGTGTCCTACGGGGACAACCTGTACGTGTGCATCCCCTGTGCCAAGGGCTTCCCCAGCTCGGAGCAGCTTAACGCCCACGTGGAGACGCACACGGAGGAGGAGCTGTTCATCAAGGAGGAGGGCGCCTACGAGACGGGCAGCGGGGGCGCGGAGGAGGAGGCCGAGGACCTGTCGGCTCCCAGCTCGGCCTACGCCGCCGAGCCGCGGCCCTTCAGGTGCACGGTGTGCGAGAAGACCTACAAGGACCCGGCCACGCTGCGGCAGCACGAGAAGACGCACTGGCTGACGCGGCCCTTCCCCTGCAACATTTGCGGCAAGATGTTCACGCAGCGCGGCACCATGACTCGCCACATGCGAAGCCACCTGGGCCTGAAGCCGTTCGCCTGCGACGAGTGCGGCATGCGCTTCACCCGCCAGTACCGCCTCACCGAGCACATGCGCGTGCACTCGGGCGAGAAGCCCTACGAGTGCCAGCTGTGCGGCGGCAAGTTCACGCAGCAGCGCAACCTCATCAGCCACCTGCGCATGCACACCTCTCCCTCCTAGAAGCCAAAGACTGCCGCCCGCTCGCCGGGGCGGGGGCCGCCCGAGACGCGCCCGGGGACCGCCACGCGCCACACGCAGGTGCCACCCGCACGCACGGGGGCAGGAAGCAGGAGGCAGGGGGGCGGGCGGCTGACGCGGGGCTCCAGGCCCGCCCCCCAAGAGCTTTAATGGACAGTCTATACCAAGGGAAGCCAAGAAGGGACGCCGAGGCGAGCACGCCCGCGAGTCAGTCTACCTCCCCTCCCGCCCCGGGTTGCGCTGTGGCTTGGCGGCTTTCTTACGTGGGTTTGGAGCGGGGCTGTGTGCGGAGAGGGCCGCCCTCCGGCCGGGGGCTGCCTGGGGCTGGGGACCGGCAGGTAGTTGAAGTGCTGTCTGTGGCCAGGCCCCTGGCCCGGGGAGGCGGTGCCGGCGGGAGGTGAGCCCGCCCCGTCTGGAGCCAGGCCCGCTGGGGTGACCACATACCTCTACACAAAGCCCTCCGGCCCGGTGGCCGTTTTCCTACTGAGCGATCCCTCGTCCCTTTCTTAATTTTTTTTTTTTTTGAAAAACCAAAACAAGTTTTTTTCTTCCCGGGCCCTCCCTGCCTCCTGGCCCCCCAGGGCTGAGCCGGGGGGGTTTGCAGCTGGAATGTAACAGGGTCGGCCCCCCGCCCTCTGCCCCTCTGTGGTGGGGCCGACCCGGGAGCCCCAATCCAGGCCCCAGAGGCTTCCCTTGCTCCCCCCCCCCCCCGCCCCAGGCCCTGCCTCAGCCGCCTTGGGAGAGAGTGCTTTTCCTATAGTTTCCAAGGATAGTCTTTGTTTAGAGGTACTTGTTTTTTTATTACGAGAAAAACCAGTGTAACGTTTCTGTGAATGGTTGAACTGGAAGGTCTGGGGTTAATGGGGGGTGGGCGTGGGTAGGCTGGACTTGGTCCCGAGTCCTTGGTACTCTTTTTTTTTTTTCCCCTCTCTGTGTGTGTATGTGTGTGTGCGTGTGTGTGTGTGGTGTGTGCGGCGGGTGTTGGACAGATGTTTTGCTTTCCTTCCTCACTGAACAAGGTGGAGAGACCTCTCACCTTTTGCTACCTCTTGAATCCACTAGAACAGTATGTCGGTGACTGGCGGTGGCGGCCATGACGCTTGCTTCCTCGTGTTGGTGCGCTTGGTCGGGGCCATCAGGCCTCGGGCACCGGAGCCAGGGCGGTAGGCACAGTGGCCAGCTGGAGGTCTCAGGAGCTGCGCGGGCTCGCCGCGCACGTGTTTCTCTGGGTGCATGCCATGCCCACCCGGAAGGTGCTGACGCGCTGCTGGGCTTGAGGGTGGTCAGCGGAGCACCTTAGAGGGCGCAGAGCGCGAGGCCCCGCCCCGCACGCCTAGCTGGCCCCCCAAGAGCTTGAGCAGGAACGTGGCTGGTGGGACCGCGACCAAAGTGTGCACGCGAGGGGGATGGGGAAGGACCCGTGGGCTCCTGCGAGGCAAGGACAGCAGCTGCCCCTATCTGCTCAGCCCTGCGAGGTCCCGCCCTGGCGCCCCTCTGTGCGCCAGGCGGGGTGCCCTGTACTCACCCCTCGGCCCACAGCGCTCGGTCGCCGGAGACGCGGGCCAACTCCAATTTACTTTTTTTTTTTTTTTTTACTTTTCCCTTTCTATTTTAAGTTTAGACCAAAAAATTCCGGAGTCACCCACTGCCCCCTCACCCTCTCAAGAGAGCCCCCAGCTGAAACGGAGCCCGGGTTCAGGGACCTTCGTGGCGAGCAGGTCAGGGCTGCGGCGCGCAGCCCCACGGGCTCCAGGCTGAGCCCGCCGATCCTCGAGCTGGCTCCCGGCCCCTCCAGGTGGGACACAGGGGAACCGGTCGCGGGGTCCAGCACGGGCGGGTGAGCACCTCGGCCCTCCCGGCGCTGGCCCACCCCGCCCATCAGCACTTAAGCCACACGACACAAAGTCTGTACGCGCGAGGATTGTACGCGCGCCCTGGTGCGCGCCCGGCCGGGGTCGCGCGCCACGCGGCGACCGGTGAGAGCAGGCGACTCGTTTGCAGAACTTCAGGGACAGGGAGCAGCGCCCCCTTCACTCAACAGCGTCTATGCGACAGAGTATTGTACCCACCTTAGTATTGTACCGAGCTTTTCCTGTATTTTAATGAGAAGCAAACACTAGTTTCATATTTAAGATTGCCAGGGTTTGCAGGGGCGGGGCGGGATGAACACAACACTTCATTTTGTCGTTTTCCTTTGAGTCATTTCGAGTGTGTGTGTGCGTGCGTGCTAGAGCCTCGCGGGACACTCGGGCCGGGGAGGCGCAGGGCGGCCCGCAGGTCTCTGCTTTACTCACTCACTTCCTGAATGTTTCGGAGACGCAGGAAACAGAAAGTAGCAGATGCCATGTAGGCGAAAGAGAGTAAGACTAAAAATAGAAAAAAAAAAAAAGCTCATACCCAAATTCACAAAACCTATTTTTAAACCAAAGCACATGTCGAATGCGAGTAGAACCTCTGGGCTCAGAAAAAAGATTCTAATATATTTATCTCATTGTTTACATAAACTTTTACAGTTTCAGACCTCAGCAGCCGTAAGGTCAGTCCGAGCGAGGCCGCACCTTCCGCGGGAGGCCCTGAGTCGCCCCTGGGTTGGCTTGGGGGCAGAGGGACATCCCCCTCAGGCCAGGGCGTGTGCAGCAGGTAGATGCCACCGAGAGTGGCCCTAGCCTTCATCCCCAATCCCGGGGCCCTCCCAAACCCAGATGGCACCAAAGAGCTAGGCCCAGTGCTGACTGGCTCCCATGGGCCTCCTGGCAGGACTGCAGGGTCCTGGCCAGCTGGCACCAGAGTGGAGGCTGTCCGCTCCGGCCACAGGACCCAAGTCTGGGCTTGGGCTCCCGGGAGGGAGGCGAGTCCCAACTGTGTCTCTGCCCGCTGCCCTCAGGCGGGCTGATGCGAGGGTCCCTCTCAAGCCAAAAAGCCAGGCCCTTTGCACAGCCTGGCCAACTCCAGCGGTCCCATCCCCTGGGGACCCCACAGCAGCGGAAGGGGCTGGCTCGGCCTGGCCTTACTGAAGACGGTGCAAACACTGACCAGTGTTGTTTTTTATGGATATGTCTGCGCAGTTACGAATGTATTTATTTCTCAGACTTGGGGCACGAGGTGAGGCAGGCCGGGTGCTGCCACTTCACGCTCCCACCAGACGAGCCCCCAAGGGCTCCCCAGGACTGCAAAAAACGGAACCAAGACAGGACGGACTTTTACGCAACCAGAATGGCAGCATAGCCATATGCCTCAGCCTGTGACCGAGTGTCGTGACCGGCCTATTCCATGACCTCATGCCGTGTCTATGTGTCCTTGTAGCCCACCCCGGGGCTGGGCTGCCTGCCCGCCCCTGTCTGTGTTCACTGGACCTCAGGCCACTAGCAGGAGTGTGACCTGGCCTGAGGGGGGGCGCACCTGCTCTGCCCGTGACCATCCGGAGTCGGGGTGAGGCCTGGGCAGCCTCCAGGGCAGGGCTAGGGCTCAGGGAAGACAGTGTCCACCCTGCCCCAGATGCACTGGGACACAAAGGGAGGGCAAAGCCAGGGGTCCCAGCGACCGTGCCGCCCTGATGGGACCAAGGCCCTGGCTGGTGTCCCGAGGCCCATGACGCGTGCCTGGGAGTGCTGGAGGACGGGTCCGGCCGGCGCCCGAGTCTGACATTCCAAAGTGGGGGGGTGGGCGTGAGTGGGGAGAGTTGAGGCTGTCCAGGACCCCCTTGCTAGGAGGCCCCCTACCCCCGCATCGGTCACCCCACTGAACCAGGGGCCCTCCTACCTCACCTGATATTTATTCTGTGACTTACTGACCTCAGATGCTGCACCTCACCACCTCACCTGGGACAGGGAGGCTCCCAGGCCCCCCCCTCCACTTGGCGGGGCCCCGTGGGGCCAGGTGCTGAGGGGAGCCTCCCTGCCCCCCCTCACTGCTCCCCCCACCCTACCCCAGGTTGGGGGCACAGACCCACTTCACAAATACCTCGGGGGGAGGACAGCATCCCCGCCGCTCCGATCCGTTGGAGCTGGGAGGGGGCGCGTCACGTCCTCCGCCACGCCCTTCCCAGAAAGTGGGGGGCGCCCCCCACTCGCACTCCTGTGCTGGCCTCCGCTGCTGTCTGTCATCCACGTTGAATTCACGTCAGGGCTGCCCTGCGGCTCCCGTGTCAGAAAAGCGATTCTCCGACGGCTGACTTCTCCCTCAGAAGCATCCAGTCTTAATGTACAGTGACGAGAAACTGTTACTTTATGACCTTTTCATTAAAAGCTTGATTGGAAACGAGCTGGTGTCGGGCCTCTGTTCTCCCGCCAGGGGGCGCGGTGCACGGTCTTGGAGCCTGCGGAGGGCGGGAACTGAGCTGGGACTGCAGATGGGGTCGGAGCCTGGTCTGGGGCTGGCCTCCCACCTCGCTGTCAGGCGTCCTGGGCGATGTTGGGCTGATGGTGTGGGGAAATGTAGTGGGCACTGGGTCCATAGCCTGTTGGTGGGTGGATGTGGAGACTGGCCAGTGTCCGCGCGCCTGTTGGGGCGGAGGGAGGGCCCTTCTGTCCATGGCTCCTTCCTGCTGCTTGACCTTGAGAGCAGGACCGGTGGCTGAGTGCAGATTCGAGTCAGGGCACAGCATAAGGCTTTGGCGGACAGGCCTTTCTAGCCACCCGGGGTGGGAATCCCCGAATGACTGCAGACCCGGGGGGGGGGGGCAGTGCTAGAGCTGGCTCAGCAGCCAGCTTGGCTCCCTGGCACCGGGCACTGCAAATACCTGCAGAGGTTCCAGGGCAGCCACACCGGAGCCTGTCACCCGCGCTGCCCCAGAAGAACACGGGTGTGGCGACTCAGTCCTGGTAAGTTCCACTCACTGCTGTTAACGTAGTTTGGAGGGTCTGTCAAAGTCACACCTGTGCATAGTCTAGACGGTCACGTGGCCTAGGACAAACGTTTCTTATCTCCTATTTACATACAACCACATTCAACCCTTGGCACTTCCATGTCCCTCTGTCACCACATTGCTGAATAATACTTT